CCTCGTCTCTTTGCAAGGGGCCCCAGGACTGGCAGCCACTCATATTGCTCACCTGAAAGAGTATGGAGGAACTATAAGATCCAGCATAACCTGACACACAAGTCACCTCCCTCTCATCACCTACAGCATCGAGGGAGGGCAGGAGACCCTCAGTAGGGGCACATAAAACGTCAATGTATGTATGACAGCTGTATGAGATCACAGCTGATGTCAGGTCTGCTTCCCAAACCACAGCATCCAGGTGCTTTGTGAGAATATTCTAGGTTCCTGGGAATGGCCTGTGGTCCCTTTGCTTCAAGCATCCCTGGTCCTGTCCCAGGGATGCAGGTGCTACAATGCCCCATCCCACTCCAACCATGGCTGGGAGTGCAACGAGAAGGAGAAACCCTGGCCATGCCAAGGGCTATATCCTAGGGTGTGTGGAGGAGGACACAAATGTGTTCTAGCTGCAAAGTGGGATTGTAGCTGGACTTTTTCCAACAAACACATAAAATGCTTCAAAAGTGCCAGTCACGATCCATTCTCAGGATTCCCTTCATATTCCCTATTTGTCTATGTGTTCCTCTCTATTTTTTTTACCTATACTTTTGTGTTTCTGAGGCCTCAATATCCCTTTACAGATCTCAGTGGTACTAAGCACATCACAGAGCCTCTAACCTAGCACCAGAAAACTCATAATTCACACCTGGAAATGGAGAAAATGCACCAACACTTACTTGGGCTTTGGTTTCAATTCACCTGCAAGTCCACAGGAACCAGAGAGAAAGAGAGCATTAGTGGAACAGAGGCATTTGCTTTCACACTTCAACCCAAAGCCCAAAAAACTGACCCAAGCTGCCTCTTTCCTGGCAGCACAGGCTATCACCCTCCTGTGGAAATGTACATGTGGAGACATCCAGCTTTGAGAAATGTGCCAAGTTCTGGGATACCCACTGAGCTGAGGGGGGTCCAGAGCACCCTCTCTCCCAAGATTTGGCAATTTTGCAGGTCACTTGATGGCCGGTCCCATCCCAGCTGCCTGCTCAGGCCAGGTAAGCCAGCCTGCGAGCACAGATGGAGCTCAAGGCAATTGTCCAGCTCACCAGTGTCCTGCTGGTCTCTCTGCTCGGATCCCCAATGCAGGTGGGAGCCCCAGCGTTCCTGGGACTCGTGATCTGCCAGGGCTCGGCCCAGGCAGGAGCAGTGACACCCCCAGCCTGTTTCCAGCCCCATTCCAGCTGAGCTCTCCTTTCTCAGCTGCCAAACCAAGCAGAGGACTATGGTGATGGGTGTAGGGACACTCTTCTCCCCTCACCCCCCAAAATGAGGATGGATACTTCACCTTCCTCAGGCTCCTGCTCTCCTTCCCCCTCTCCACCTGTGGAAAACATGGTGTTTTGGCTCCAGAAGACCATTCCTGATGTCCATCCAGACCAAGCATGGCAGCAGGGCAGTTCAGACAGGTTGTTCCCCCCTACCCCATGCTTATTCTCTCTGGAAAACCCATGAAGGAGTCTAGGGCTTTGGAAAAGATCTTCATGGTTTCTGTGGGAGGTGACCCAGCTGCCAGGACTCCAAACTGAGGTTTCAGGGCAGATCTGGCCTCAATAGGATCTGAGGATCCCGATTTGAGGTGAGCAGGAGTGTTGAGGGGCTCCAGGATGAGTGGGGCTGGAGCAGATCCCTTATGGATGTTGCTTTCCCCCAAACAGGCTGAGAGCACCTCAAAACCCCTCAGAAAGAAAATGGACACCTTGCAAGAACTCAGGCTGGAAAAGTAGGAGCACTGCCCTTTCCTTCTTCATTTTGGGTGAATTTTTTTAAGGTAGGCAGCACAAAGTTATCATTCTTGCCTCCTGCAGGCCCTCTATTGCCCTACAAGACTGGCAAAAGAAGGGGCCAAGGGCAGTTCTACTGCGTTTGCTTCAGGTTCGCTATTATAATCATCAGTGAATTTGACCCTGAAAATCTTCATGATAAGGAGCTAACATCCTGTGGGTGTGGAATCAGGACTGAAATGGCCAAAAATGGTCCCTTCTCCACTCCTGCTATATCTTCTCCTGGTGCCTTATTTTCATCATCTTGTTCTGTTTCAAAAGCAATAGGGAGAATACAGTAAGAGCATCCACAGACATGTTCTACCACATCCCCATCCAGCATGAAGGGGTCCCAGCACCCTGCCTTCCCCACCATGTTTTCCACATCAGATCTGATCCTGCCCCACCAGAATTTTCAGATCTGGGACATACATGAGATAAATTCAGTTTACCCCAAAGAAGTTTCATGAAGTCCAGAGCATTTTGGATGTGAGACACATCCAAGCATGACAACACCAGTGGATTTCCCAGTTTGAGGAAAAGGTGACCTCTTATTGAAACAGGCTTACCTCTCTTTTGGCACTACTTCATTGTACCAGACATGAACATTTTGGAAGCAATTCAATCAGCAGAGAACAGTTATCCTCATGCTTGTGCACCCAAAGATCTCGACATTTGGTAGGATAAGGAGAGGACAGCTCAGTTTTGCCGCAGAAAAGCGGGAAAGCAAAGCTTTCTCTTGTGACCTGCTGTCACAAGCAACATGGGGGCATCTCAACCCATGCTCTGCAGCACAAGAGGGGGAGCTGGGACCCCACCAAAGGGCAGCAGCTTTTTGGAGCCAGCTGAGCCATGGAAGCCACCACACACCTTCTTCCTTGGTTTCTTCCGTTTCCTCTTCCACTTCCTCTACCTGTTCTTCCTGATCTGTGGGATAACGGGCAGTGTGAGTCCCACAGCTGGAGCTCCCTCTGGCTCCCTACAGACTCAAGCAACAGGACAGGCTGCTGCATTGAGCCAACCATGGACAAACCCAGGAGAGAAGCTCAGAAGTAGAGGAGAAAAATTTAAAAAACAGACAGTTCAGAAAGGAAAGGAGCCTAACTTTTAATCATGGGCTGGTCTGTGTGCTTAGGTAGGGAAATTTATTTATTTATTTATATTTTTATATATGCACCTTCTGGCTAGTCCCTGGCTCCCTCTCCTACTCTATGTGCACCTTTGCACTGCCACACACTCAGACACTACAGAATGAAAGGATCAGGCACCATCCAGGGCTGCTCTTGCAGAAATCCCCACTATACAGAGATACTAAATCAAAATACCCTCCTCCTCAGACCACAGGGCAGGGTGGGAGCAATTCCTCTTGCTGTCCTGTACTCAGCAAAAAACAAGCCCTGCTGGCATTAGAGGAGGTGCCTTCAGCTGTTCTCCATCCTATTTATGATGCTGATGGAGCATCTTTTCCACTGGAGGGAGCAGTATCCTCACAAGAGTCCTCCACCAGTCAGAGTGATGCTGGGACCTGCAAGGTCTGGGAGGCCCTGAAGAATCCTTCCCATATCCCAGGAGAAAGAAAAAGAAAGAAAGCACAACAAACAAGCTATGAGCACATTTGCTTCAAGAAGGAAAAGTAGAAAACACAAAAACTGAAGCAGATGGGCATAGCACAGCACAGCATGAAAGTGGAATGCAACGAGCAACATAGAAGTGGAAGAATGAAAGAAAAGCATTTCCCAAACAGGGAAAGGCAAAAGGACATGACAACTCACAACATATTTAGCACAGCAGCAGAGACATTAAATAAAGGTGTAATAACTACCATCTTCTTCCTCTAGCCATTCTTCCTCTTCTCAGCCAGGGAGGAGTGAAAGGAATAAGTGGAAAGGTTAGTCAGATGTTATAAAGCTGTGGAGTCTACTATGGTATGCAGTGAGATGAGGACTCTGGTATTGCATGGTTTTCTCTCGTGCTGCTTTTTTGCTTTTAACACTGTGGATATTTTGCTGTGCAGTAGCCCAGGCCATCTCGGAGGGCTCTGAAGCACTAAAAGCTTTAAAGCTTTCCTCAGCAAGGCCCACAGTGCAGCCCAGCTCAGCATGCACAGCCCAGCTGAAGTGTCAGAGCTGCTGAATGCACAGCAAGATTTGCTTCCTCATCAGACTGAAGCAGTTGGAAATTTATGCTTGAGCATAACTAACAAATTCAGCTGAGGCTCCAGTTTTAGGTAGAACCTAAAACTGTGGCATTTAGGAATAAGCAGCAAAAATCTGAGTCTGCATTTCTATCCCCTCTTCCCTGTTCACTTTTGGGTTTTGATAAAAGAACTCCCAAGAACATCTGGGCTCCACCTGAAACATCACTGGGAACCATATGGAGCATGATTTCATAGACCATTTCTGCTCATGATTTATCCATTGCAGTCAAAAAACTTACCACCACAAACCACTCACGCAAAAGACTGAACCAACAGCTATAGTCTCTTGGTCCTTGTAAAAGACCTACCTTCTTCAACATA